TAAAAAATGGCTGCTAACCTAAATTCTCCTTTGAAAATTTTATCCAAAGTCAGCATGATGTTGGAGGAATATTTTCTAGGCAGGCATAAAAAGCCTTCAGATCTAGAAAAATAAAAAATATTCTTAAAACTGGAAAAAATAAAATAAAAAAAGCAAATAAACATTTGCCAAAATATATAAATAAATAAGCTTAATATATACTGAAAAAAAAATTATTCAATATTTTCTCAAACCTAATTGGATCAGAGTTAATTCCAATCACCGGTTTGTTAGGCACTTGAATTTTGCTGGCAGCCAATAGGAACGTGCCATCTCCACCACACGTGAAAATAGCATCTGCCCAATCAATTAGTTGGGGCCTGAAGTTGTAGCGTTGCACTAATCTGTACTTTATTCCTCGTTTCCTGGTTGGAAGAAACAAAAATTTACTTACACAACCTAACATGATTTTAATTTGAACAAATTTATAAAATTATTAAAAAGTGAATTTAAATTTTTAAGATTAATAAATTTGAAAAATATATTAAATGTACTCAAAAGCATTCTCCAGATCCAGTAAACTTTTTATGTATTCTTGGTGGCGTAGGTAGAGAAAATCATAATTAGAACCCTTTTTGTTGATCTGAAATTTGAAAAATTTTGAAAAATCATTAAAATATTCCTATTAAAAGTCAATCTTGAGTTTTAGTATCAAAATAATTATAACAAAAAATAAATATAAAATGAACAACAGGACTGACGTAAATTTTGAGTTGATCCTCAGTCAGATCAGGCTTCAAAATGTATTTCTCATATTCGTACCTGGTCACCTTCCTAACAATTACTGCTTTCTCTAATTTAAAATTTCCGGCTTCCCCGAATTTTTTCTGATCCAGAGGTGGAGCTGGAATGGTGAAGTGCCTTCCCAAAATCAAAACTTGTTCGGAATCTAATTTTAAAACTTTCGAAACAAGGTTCTTTGACAGTAATTTACGACCGATGCAGAACATTATTACCAGTAGTATAACTTTTTAGTTTAACTGTGTTTTCATTCGAAAAATATTACTAAAGTAATAATTATTTTAATATAATTATTAAAGATCCGACACCAAATTTTACTATTAATTCTGTTTTTTTTTTATTAAAACCGAAAAAACTTCAGCTCGTGATCGGAAATTGAAATCTTTCAACAAAAAATCCTTTCTTCCTTTAAAAACATCTTACAACCCTTCTCTACTCAAACTCCAGTTCAAGTTTTCTTAAGAAATAAATTCTCAAATAAAAAACTTTTCTCAACAAATTGGAGAAACCTTACCGCAATGTAGGAATTCACTTTTAAGACAAATCAACAAAAACATGAAATTATTTACTTCTAAATAATTTATATTGGGTCGGGGTTAAACTCGTTCAACGATATACCCATCCTATTTTATTAATTTTATTTGATGTTTTTTAATTAGTCAGGTCACAATCATGGATATAATATATCCATTATTATATATTATATATATCCATGGTCACAATCATCATCATCATCGATATCACAATGAAATGAAATTGAAAATTTTTTAAATTTTTGAAAAAAATATCTTTATTCATTTTATGGTACTACTTTGTTCAATTTAGATACTGTTTGATACATATAACTCAAGGGGAGGCCTATTTACCAGCATACAACACCTTCTTGTGGGTTGAAGCAGGGATACGCAAAGAACCTCAATTTTTTCAACTTTTAATTATTTTCAGTAATGTCTCCCTAGCTCCCAAACCCATTACCTGAATAAATAGGACTATTCGATCAATTCGATCTACGGGTCGAGCTATTGTCGTACTTGGGATTGTTGGCTACGAAAATTGCAGGGATTTTAACGAGCAACTTAATTGAAATATTTACTTGATTTTTATTGCTCAAACATTGTAGTAAATTTTATTTAATTTAATAAATGTTTAATAGAATTATTATTTATTAAATTATTTTTGTTAATTTAAATATAAAATTGGCTTTTGGTCCGGTGAATCCCGGTGGCTTTTTACTAAAGCCGAAGGTTGGCTCAGTAGGATTGAACTATAGTCACCCTTTTTTACACTATTCGATCATGTTAAAAATTTGTTTCCTCATAAAATAAACGGCCTAAATAGATCAAAATTGTTATTTGAACAACTATCTTCATTATATTCAATGAATATTTTACATTCTGCTGGTGCTCATAGAAATTATGGTTGCTGAAATCATAAGTTGGCTTACAGCAGTGGCTTACTGGGTCTCATACAACAGTGTCATAGCGGTTTTCTTTACATATAATGCTTTAAATAAGTCAATATATTCATTTCACAATTATTTTTGTCAGTATAAATATAGAAATTGCTTTTGTCAGGTGAAAAACAGTGGCTTACTGAAGCCGTAGGTTGGCTTAATCGGATTTTTTCTCATGTATACAATACTATGAGATAAATCAATCAAACAATCAGTCAGTCGGTCGGTCGGTCAGCCAGCCAGCCAGTCTGTCTGTCAATCAATCAACCAACCGATCAATCAACCGATCAATCAACTAAATTGAATGAACCAAATAAACAAAAATAAAAACAAAAATAAAAAAAAATTTGCAAGGCCTGTTCAAACTCGGACAAACAGTTAACCGTACAGATCTACAAACAATTTCGAGATTTTAGTAAAGAAAGAAAAACACAGTAGTTGCTTTTATTTGAATTCATTCAAAAATGAAAAGTGACGGTTAATTAAAATTTTAAAATGTCAATAAACAAATATAACAAAATATCGACCGATAAAAATAATTATTATCCATTATTATTATTATCATACACACTCCTTAGAAGTTCTCGAAGGATAATAAACCACGTAACATGAACATTTAGTAAGAACAGTTCACAACATATCATAATGACTAAATCAACATACTAAACAGAAATAATTTATACATGCATATATACAAAGTAACGAATAAATAAATAGACATGCATATATACAAAGTAATGAATAAATAAATAGACATTATTAAAAAGATTGTTCAAAAAGGTAAAATTTAAGGCGACGACGAGAATGAAATGTAGTTTGGTTTGTTGGTGTGGTGTTGTGAAGCGAAAACGAACACATCACACAAAACTAGTAAGAAGTCGCAAGAATAATAGTCAGTCACCTACCTATAATAAAATTACTCTCAGGGCCATAGCTTACTTATAAACATTGACTCAACTCACTTACCTACAAATTTGTATTTCTCGTTTTAGATGTTTCAAGTATTTTATTTAACATATTTTAGCGTTTTTATTTTACTTGAAGCTTTTTAACTAATGTTAAGCCCTAGCCTACCTACAATTGTTTAACTCATCTCAGTCCCTAACTTACCTATGAATTAAATTAAAGCCCGGTTCACGGTAAAGAAAATATAAAGTTGAAGAGAAACATAGCAACAACGACACCGAATGAATGGTTGTTGTGTATGTATGTGTTGTATTGATGTGTGTGTGTGTAAATGTGCGGGCGCGCACTCTCCAGAAACTTCACTCACTACCGACGAACCTCCATTGCATCGACCATCATCTGACACGCATCGATGGAATGGATTTGACCGGATACTGGAAAATAAATTGAAAAAAAAAAAATTAATTCACTAAAATAAAATACAAGCAATTGGAAAAAATAGACAACTTATCTTTTTGAGATAACACTCAATCTTTGTTCAAATTCGAGTACTTTCAAAGGTACAATGAGACAAAAACAAATTTACCTTTAACATTATCTTCGATTTGTCATCGGAACGATCATCATGAGAACACCATCGGAAACGTGCTGACGCCCACCACAGCCCACCTCTCATCATTCTGTAGACAAGTTTTTATTAATTAGCGAAGTAGTAAATCAAGAAACAAAGGAACGAACGAATAAATGATTAACTGAATGATTGAACGATTGGTTGAATGAATAAATTAACTAATTAATCAACCAATGATTTAATGAATGAATAGAATGAATCAATGAATAAATTAACTGAGGAATAATTTGAAAGATAGTGATAAAATGAATGAATGAATGAGAAAAATAAAAAAAGAAACTAAATCATACTTCAAAAACCGTCGTTGTTGTTATCTTCGAATTGTCATCGGAACGATCATCATGAGACCTATATATATATATATATATAAAATATATATATATATATATATATATATATATATATATATATATATATATATATATATATGTTACTTTTATCAACAATTAATAAAAAATTTTCAATTTGATTTCGCCGCGATATCGATGATGACGATTTTGACCTGACTGATTAAAAAGCATCAATGAAAATTTTTAAAATAGGATGGAAAATTTGTTATATTGAGATATTCGTATATAAAGCGAGCAAAAGTTTAATATTAAAGCGCTTATAAATCAGCTTGGCTTGGCTCGTCTTGAAATTGGATGTTAAGCTAGGTGTGGTCTCAAACTTTTTGGAATTCTCTCAGAAAAATTTGAACTGCACGCGCACATATGTAGCACTGATTACTGTTGCTTCAATAATGAATTTATATACTATATATATAAAGCGAGCAAAATTTTAATATAAAAGCGCTTATAAATCTACGCATATTGGCTCAGCTTGGCTCGGCTTGGAATTGGATGTTAAGCAAGGTAATGAATTTATATAATATATATATATATATATGTATATATATATATATATTAATTTTAATATATATATATTTATATATATATATATATATATATATATATATTAACTAGAATCCATGTATACAAATAATTAATATGATTATATGTTCATATAAAAAGCAATATAGCAGATTCAACCAGCCAATCAGAAAGTTTCGAAGGCGTTCGATCGTTGACGTCAATTTAGTACGGTTGTTAAGACTGTATAATAGTGTACTACATACATTAAAAAAGTTTTTTACTGATGTGAATGATTGAAACGATGAGAATGTATTGTTGAAACTAGTATAAATAGGAGCTGAGACAGCATGAAAATCAGATCAGGCATTCTGCCTCGCTTAAGGCTTGAAGCGGTCTGTCTGATCTAATTTTTTTTTATTTTGTTATATAGAGTTATATAGATTTATATAGAGTTGCGCGGCTATATATGTTTGTCTGTGGTTTGTATGTTTGTATTTTTTTATTTTAGGTGGGTTCTTTAGCGGTTGCTCATACATACATACATACATACATACATTAAGTTTGTTTTTTGTGGTAGTATGTTATGTTCTATTTTGCTCCTTTTTCTCTTTCTTCATGAGTCTTGAGTTAAGTTAATGAAACATAAGTAGGTGAGATTAAAAATTAATTTATTATATAGGTAGGCTAGGGCATAAGGTAATTTAGTTACATAGGTAGGTTAGGGACTTCTATTCTTTTACTTTTACTTGGTGGTGTGTATTTTGTTTTGTATTTTGTTTTGTTTCACACGATACATTCAACAGGTACGCGGTGGTTCCTGGTTTTAGTGGAATTTTTATTGATTGAATTTGGTAGTTTGAATGATTATAGAGTTTGCGCGGTTATATAGAGTTTGCGCGGTTATATAGAGTTTGCGCGGTTATATAGAGTTATATAGAGTTATATAGAGTTATATAGAGTTATATAGAGTTATATAGAGTTATATAGAGTTATATAGAGTTATATAGAGTTATATAGAGTTATATAGAGTTATATAGAGTTATATAGAGTTATATAGAGTTATATAGAGTTATATAGAGTTATATAGAGTTATATAGAGTTATATAGAGTTATATAGAGTTATATAGAGTTATATAGAGTTATATAGAGTTATATAGAGTTATATAGAGTTATATAGAGTTATATAGAGTTATATAGAGTTATATAGAGTTATATAGAGTTATATAGAGTTATATAGAGTTATTAGAGCATAAATCCTATATAGATACCTTTTTAGAGGTTCTTTCCTTTGCCGACCGGTCGGCTTCTTTGCGTTTCTCTATTTTCATTTTAATTAATTAAATAAATAAGATTTTTCCATTTATTTAGGTTCATTTAGGTTCATTCAGGTTCATTCAGGTTGATGCTTCCAGAGCAGTTCATCGTGGAAGATCAGAATGGTTGTGATGTCACGCTACGTTCGTTCATTCAGCGGCAAAGAATGCACGCCTGGCTGTGGCTCGTTTTATGTTTTTTTTGCGGTTCTTTTTTTTGCCAGTTGGCTGGCTTTTCCGGCTGGCGAATTTCACCGCGGCTCGTTTCTTTATTTTCATTTAAATTAATTAAATAAATAAGATTTTTTCATTTCATTCAGGTTGTGGCTTCCATAGGAGTTCATCATGGAAGATATCAGGCCACGTTCGTTCATTCAGTGGCAAAGAACACATGCCTGGCTGGGATACGTTTTATTCTTTTTTCTCTGTAATTTAACATTAAGTAAGAATGCATACACGCACACATATACACACACAATTACATTAAGTAGCTATATAGGTAGGTTAGATAGGCATAATTTTAATTGTAGGTAGGATATATAGGAAGCATCGAACACTAATGTAGTTGATTAGGTAGGCGCGTAAGTTTATCGCTTCTATTTTTTCTTGCACCCACATTACACGCATCAGCGTATTACACACACACACACACAAATACATACATAAACACATATGTTAGTATTTGAGCGTAATTTTACTTTCATTACACATTCTAATTTATTATTACTAAGGTTGAGAATAATTTAATTTCATAGGTAGTTAAGGGCAATAATGTAATTCTAGGAACAATCTTGTAATGTAAATTAAAAGGCTATGAATGTATCGATAGGTAGGTTAATTATAAGTTTTACATTATTATTATTATTATGTTGGAGCCCAAGGCATTACGTAGGTGGTGGGGTGGGTGCCGAAAGGCCAATGAATTGGGCTCTTGAGTTTTGTAATTTTAGGTAAGCTAAGGCCATAATGTAATGAATAGGTAGGTTAAAGCTACGTTGTAACACATACTCATTAATAGATTTAAGGTTTAAGTTTTATATTGTTATTACTAAGTTGGAGCCCAAGGCATTACGTAGGTGGTGGGGTGGGTGCCGATTGGCCAATGAATTGGGCTCTTGAGTTTTGCAATTTTAGGTAAGCTAGGGCTCAATTGTAATGAATAGGTAAGTTGAGGGTACGATAGCCGATAGACTCTGAATTTCGAAGTCTCTTGTCAGAAGTAAGCCTTGGTGGCCAGTGGTGAACCGGCAATGGTTTAATATCCGGACGGCAATGGTTTACTATCTGCACAGTAATGATTTACTATGCAGCACGACCATAGTCTACTACCCGCACGGCTTCCGGACGGCAAATGGTTTACTATCCGCACGGCAATAGTCTACTATCCGCACGGCAATGGTTTACTATCCGGTGCCCTGGCTATCGGTGAATCTCTGTGCAAGGAGGGAGAATGAAGGGGGACTTTCGACTATCGTACCATTATCAATTTAATATAGATTAGTTAAGGTAATTGAATAGGTAGATAGAATTATTTTTATTAAGCAATTTGAGATGCAGGCACCGCTAAGCTTTCTGATGAGAATTTTCTCTTTCTCCATTCCACGGCTGTGTTTCAGCAACAATCTCGAGGAGGACTGGCACCAGTTTTGGAGTACAACGTAAGAACTGGAAAGCATTCAACATTCTTCCTTTGTCGAATGGACGACGGTAAGTTTTTTTTACATTTTAATCTCTTTATTATTTTCAGTTATTATTTATTTGCCATTATTTCCATTTTATAATTTTTTGCTTCTAAGATTCTAACATTCATTTACTACTACGCTAATAAAAAAAATTGTCTACAGAATGATGAGAGGTGGGCAGTGGTGGGAGTCAGCACGTTTCAGATGATGGTCTCATGATGATTTACATATGATGATGCTGGTGTAGGAAGAATCAGCTAGTTGGCTGTTCGACTGACACTCAGAAGTTCGGATGAAATCTTGTATGCCGATCTGAATGTGGTGGTCGGTGCAATGGATTACAGTAACGACGATTTTTGAAGTAAGGTTTAGTTTCGTTTTTTTTCTTTTTCTCATTCATTCATTTTTCCCCTCAACCTTTCAAATTATTCTTCCATTAATTGACGTTAATTCATTCTATTCTTTCATTCATTCTTTTAACTAATTATTTAATCATTCAGTTCAATCATTTATTCGTTTGTTCCTTTGTTCCTTGATTTACTACTGTGCTAATAAAAATAACTTTTTTACAGAATGATGAGAGGTTGGCTGTGGTGGGCGTCAGCATGTTTCAGATGGTGGTCTCATGATGATCGTTCCGATGACAATTTGAAGAAAACAACAACGACGATTTTTGAAGTATGGTTTAGTTTTTTTTACTTTTCTCATTCATTTTATCACTATCTTTCAAATTATTCCTCCATTAATTGATTCATTCTATTCATTCGTTAAATCATTGATTGATTAATTAATTATTCATTCATTCAAACAATCATTCAATCATTCAGTTAATCATTTATTCGTTCGTTCTTTTGTTCCTTGATTATTTACCAACACGCTAATTAAAAAAACTTGTCTACAGAATGATGAGAGGTGGGCTGTGGTGGGCGTCAGCATGTTTCAGATGGTGGTCTCATGATGATCGTTCAGATGACAATTTGAAGAACAATTAAAAGAAAATTTGTTCTTGTCCCATCGTACCATTGAAAGTACTCGAATTTGTCATCTCAATAACATAAGTTGCCTTTTTTTCCAATGGCTTGTGTTTTTATTTTAAAGAATTATTTTTTTTTTCAATTTAGTGTTTTTCAGTATCCGGTCAAATTCATTCCATCGATGCGTGTCAGATGATGGTCGGTGCAATGGAGGTTCGTCCGTAGTGAATGAAGAAGTTTTTGGAGAGTACACGCCCGCACATTTACACACACACACATCAATACAACAAACGTACACAACATCCATTCATTCAGTGTCGTTGTTGTTATGTTTTTCTTCAACTTTCTATTTTCTTTACCAGACTTAATTTAATTCGTAGGTAAGTTAGGGATTGAGATGAGTTGAACAATCGTAGGTAGGCTAGGACTTAACATTAGTTAAAAAGTTTCAAATAAAATAAAAGCACTGAAATATGTAAAATAAAATACTTAAAACATGTAAAATTCCAAAAACGTAAAAAAACATATTTGTAGGTAGATGAGTTGAGTTAATGATTATAAGTAAGCTATGGCCCTGAGAGTAATTTAATTGTAGGTAGGTGACTGACTACTATTCTTGCGACTTTTTACTAGTTTTTTGTGATGTGTTTGTTTTCGCTTCACAGCCCCACACCAACAAAACAAACTACATTTTATTCTCGTCGTCGCCTTATATTTTACCTTTTTGAACAATCTTTTTAATAACGTCTATTTATTTATTTAATTATTTATTAAATGTTGACTTGTTTCTAGTTTTTTTTAATTTGGTTACATAATTTTTGGATTTTTCTAGTTTTTTTTTAATTTGGTTATATAATTTTTGGATATTTCTTGATTTAATAAAAACAACTATTGTGTTTTTCTTTCTTTACTAAAATCTCGAAATTGTTTGTAGATCTGTACAGTTAAGTGTTTGTTCGAGTTTGAACAAGTCTTGCAAATATTTTTCAAATATGGTTCATTGATTGGTCGATTGGTTGGTTGATTAGTTGATTGAATGAATGGTTGGTTAGTTGATTGATTGGTTGATTGATTGATTGATCTCATAGTATTGTATATGAAAAAAAAATCCGCTTAAGCCAACATACGGCTTTACTTGGCCACTGTATTTCACCAGACAAAAGCAATTTCTTTATTTATATTGACAAAAATAATTGTGAAATGAATATATTGACTTATTTAAAGCATTATATGTAAAGAAAACCGCCATGACACTGTTGTATGAGACCCAGTAAGCCACTGCTGTAAGCCACCAGCAGAATGTAAAATATTCATTGAATATAATGAAGATAGTTGTTCAAATAACAATTTTGATCTATTTAGGCCGTTTATTTTATGAGGAAACAAATTTTTAACATGATCGAATAGTGTAAAAAAAAGGGTGACTATAGTTCAATCCAACTAAGCCAACCTTCGGCTTTAGTAAAAAGCCACCGGATTTCACAAGACCAAAAGTATAATTTTTATATTCAAATTAACAACAATATTTTAATAATACATAATTTTATTTAATAAAATCATAATTTTATTTAATAAAATTGAAGAGAATTACCACAATGTTTTAAGCATATTAAGTCAAGTAAATATTTCATATAGCTTGCTCGTTAAAATCCATGCAATTTCGTAAGCCAATAATCCAACCATGTCAAATAGCCCGACGCTTGACTCGAACGATAATAAATCACCCTCCAAATCTTTTCCAGAAGTAAGCTTCTTGTTCGACCGTTTAAAGTGAGCGAAGGCCTTTATATTTGTTTTAGTTATGTGGTCGGGCCTCAACTGATATTTAAAAATAACTTTTGTACATAGTTTACTTTTAAAAGTTTGGTTGTGTTTTTTTAAAAGTGAACATCTTCGAATTCTTTGACAAAATGAATAAAATTTAAAAAATATGATTAAATAAATATTTTGGGAAATTTTAAATTTATATATTTAATAATTAGTCACGTTCAATTAAAATTTTTTTTATAAAACTTCTGCTTTAAACTTTTAATGTGCGTTAATTTTTTTAATTCGGAATAAGTTAAAAAGAGGGGGAATTACTGAGTTAGTAATTTAGTTTGTCAAAGTATAATTTCTTAACTTAACTAATTAGCTCATCTAAAAAAGCTTGAGCGAAAAAAATGGCTGCAGAAATTAAGCCTCTTGAACAAAACAGTGATGAAATCAGATCTGGTTTTGGTAGAAAATTGAATTTACTGAGTACCATAGAAGGTGTTCCACTGGACATCAACATGGCCGTCTTGTTGGGGGGTGAGGAAGAAGGGGTCGCAGCTGTTTCTGAAGACAAGTTGGTCTTCAATTTATTTTTTGTTTTAATTTTTTTGCTGTCATTATTGATTATGTTATTGCTTTATTAATATAGTTTATAAGTTATAAGTTTTATTAATTATAATGATAATTATAATTAAATTATAATTATAATTAAATTATAATTTAATTAATTATAATTTTATTATATTTATAAGTTTAATTATAAGTTTATTTATAATAATTAAAATTTAAATAGTTACTTTATAATTACATTAGTGATTAGAATTAGTAGATAGTAATAGATAGAAGGAAAAATTGTAAATAAATGAGTAAAATAGTTTAAAAATTAATTTAACTTTAAAGAACAGTCAGAATATGGTTGAAAAAAAATAAAGGAAAATATTGGGGCAGTGTTTGCCAACATTTGCCAGGTATGTTATTATTGTTAGTTTTATTATAATTTAATAATATTAATAATAATTATTATTATTATTATATTATAATATTTTTTTTATTATTTATATATATTTATTTTAACACATAAAATAATTCAGCTACAGCTAGTAGCATATACTACCAGAAAGACAAGCACAAAATCTATGTGGGCCTCAACAATGGAACAGTTATGGTAATGTTGGTTTTTAATTATTTGTTTTATTATTTGTAGAAGTTATTCATTTTATTATTTGTTATAATTAAATTATATATTTTATTATTTATTATTTGTAATAATTAATATTAATGATGACCTGACCATAGCCAGACCAGACTTCTTTACCCACGTACCATCTTATAATAATAAAATATTAGATAAAATAATTATTTTTTTATTTTAATAATTAATTTAATTGTTAGTTTTATTATAATATATTAATAATAATTATATTTAATTTGTATTAATTATTTCAATCATTTTTTTCATCATTTGCAAGGACTTTGTTATAACAGATAATGGTACCAAGTTATCTCACATTAGGGACGTGTTAGGTGGGGATTTATTTTATTTTATCCATTCTTTGGTTTGTTTTTAATTTTGTGGTTTATTTATTTTTTCAACTTTGTAGTTTATCATCATTAAACTTATCAAATAATTGTTTATAAAATTTTTCTTTTATTATAAATTTAAATTTTTAAAATATTGAAAAATTAATATCATAACTCCCCTGTTATAGCTCATGTAGATAGAATAACGTGCATAGAAGTTATACCTGCGTTAAAATTTGTTTTCACTGGCTCCAAAGATACGTATCTGCAATGGCACTGCTCAGAATCGGGGAAGAAATTAGGAAAATTTAAAATCGACGTTTGGATTAGTTCTCTATGGTTAGCCATTTTTTGTCGTATCTGTGTGTGTGGTGACAATATGATTTATTGCATTCTTTGTTTCTCTTGTATGTATGTTTGCATCTATGTTTTATTTTGTTTGTTTGTTTCTAGTTTTTATTTTCAAGTCTCAACCTAAACTTCTAATATAATTTTTACTCAATAGCTTTGACCTGGCCTCAAAATGTCTGTTCGTTGGTGACCTCTCTGGACAGATAACTGTACTAAAGATGGTTGAAGGTTCAGCTCATTTTATCACCGTTCTCAAAGGACATACTGGTGTATATAATTTTTGTTGAATTGTTTCCAAAAATTTTTTTTCAGATATGTCACATCTGTTTAATGATATAAAACTTTGTTTGCTTGTTTATTTTCTGTTTGTCTGTCTGCTTGTTTGTTTGTCTGCCAGCTATTTTAAACGAATGAATATATAATAAGTGAATAAATAAATAACAGTTAATCTTTCTGAATTCAAAAGCATCAGTAAGATGCCTAGCCTGGGACAACGAGAATAGTCTATTATTTTCTGGAGGGGGTGACAACACCATTGTAGTTTGGGATATTGGCAGCAGGAAGGGGACTACTGTGGAACTATCTGGCCATCAGTTTGTTCTTATTTTGGTTATAATTAATAATTTAATGAATTTTTAAAATTTATCGTGATAAATCTGTAAATAAATAATTAGGCTTGATTCATTTTTATTATATTTATAAATTAGGTAAGATCTAATTAAAAACTATGTATTGTATATTTTTAAATGAATAAATAAAGTAGTTTTTTTTCAACATAATAATATTTAACTAACAGAGATAGAGTTGAATGCCTGATATACATTCCTACATTCAAGCAGCTGTTGTCAGGGGGTTATGATAGTAACCTCATTATCTGGAATATGGACGCACAAAGAAATTCCGTGAGAATAATATTGATATATTATTATTATTATTACATGTGGTGTAATGGTAAAGTTTCCTGGTCCTCTTGGTGACGCGTTGTAATGACCGGGTTTGAATCCTGAAATATTATTCACACGGTCACTTGAAATATTATTCACACGGTCACTCTCTCTCTCTCTCTCCCTGTGTTTGTGTGTGTGTGTTGTTACGTTAATACCTCAGAAGTATGTGCAGTAAGTATGAATGATCTTTGACCTTTAACCTTTCAACCGTAAACACAGACCCCGGAATGGACGGAGAGTGACAAATGCGAATGTTGCAACGGTCCGTTCTTTTGGAATTTTAAGATGATGTGGGAAATTAAATCGCTAGGTGGCAGGCAGGTACGCTGGGATTTTTTTTCTAATTTTTGTGATTTTTATTTCATTATTTATATCATTTAGAACTAGTTTAATTTTTATTGTTTTTATCATTGTTTTTATTATTATTATTTTTTATTATTTTTATGACTAGCACCATTGCAGAAAGTGTGGAAAGGCTATCTGCGCTAAGTGCAGCTCCAACGTCTCCATACTACCGCAGTACGGCTTCGAGTACCCCGTCAGACTGTGCCTCAACTGTCATGCTAATCTTACCAGCGAAGAGTAATTTTATTTAGTTATCATAATTATATTATAATTTATTCATTTGTTACTCTTCAAGTATTTGTCAGGGGTATCAGTCAACAACTACGAACATACAGCACATTAAGAGTTTATTTTTTCACAATGCTCTCTCATTTAATTATTATTATTAAATAATAAATACATAGATTATTTGATTATCGCATTAATTTAATAATTATTATTAAAAGAATAAATATATAAATTATGTAATCATCACCGAAATTAATATTTAAATTAATTCTAGACTACAGCCACTGGCCACGTTTTATCACCTGAAGCACAGAATTGTGCACGCCGACGCTGACATCAACACTAAAAGACTACTGACAGTCGGGAAGGATAGAGTCATTAAGGTTCCCCACTATTTTTCATTTAATTAATTAATTAATCAATTAATTATTTTATTTATTCAATTGAATTATTGATTGCGTGATAATAAAAATAATGATTTTTTTTAGATCTGGGAGATGGTAGATAATTGGAACTGAATGCAACCTCTTCGTCCGTCGTCAATCTTGAATTTGTTATTTTAATTTGTTTAACTCTTTGTCGTCATGTAACATTCATCTGGTTATTTATTAATTATTTTATTATTTATCAATTATATTATTCAAATATTTTGTCAAATATTTTTACTTTCAGTTCATTGCATTTCAATTTTGTGTAGTACATTTATATCTGAATCTTCATTTTGGTCAACATTTTCTCCGTGAATTCTCACTACTTTTTTACTTGCAATTAAAAAAACTAATAGAAATTTATGAAAGTTAATTAACTTATTTGCTGGTTATTCGTGGAAATATTGTTTTACACGAAATTAGGTTAACCATGCTGACTTTTCGAGAAAATTCCAGAAAAGTCTTATTTGTCTTTATTGAATATTTATAAAATGGCAACGTTGCAACGGTCTCCTTGACCACTGCAGCAAATATAAAAATCGAACAATCGCTTTCAAATATCTCGCATTTAAATATTTCTAATGATTATTTTGTTTAAATAATTTGCCAAATATTACGGATGAGTATGTTTCGCGAGTTTTGCGATGACCCATTTTTCGGGTTCGGCTTTTTTTTGCATTGGAATGTTTAAAAAATTTAAAAAAAAACACGTTTTTTAAATTTAAAATTTTCAACATGGCGTCTTTAAAATTTAATTTGTTAACATTTTCCAATTTGTTAAAAAACAATCTTGAAGTAAATTTCACTTGATCTTTTTTTTTATATTGTTAAGGGTTATTCTAGTCTACTTTTAAATAAATTATAAATTAACTACCCGTGAAAGAAATAATTTTTATATTTTTAAAAATAAGGTAGCTTCAGAGCTTGTTTGTAATTGTAATGTTTGTATGATTTACCATTTGTGATTGGATTAGAGATTAGTTAGAAAATTAGTCCCTCAACAGTCAACACGTATGAGAATTTAATGTTCTAAAAAAGTCTAATTTTTCCCAGATTTTCAGAACATGATCACAGGCGAAAATTGATCAGTGACATGGAGAAGACCCAGAAAAACAGGCACCGTCATGGTCGTCGGGGCGACCAGCAACCAAGCATCCAGGCCCCAAATAATCATCATAGTGGTCGAGAGATGTCGCTCTTTGACCCACTTGAAATGTCTGGCCCTATGTCCCTGTTCAACTCCAGGAGCCCATTCTCTATGATGGATTCTCTGTTGCCTGCTTTTGGAAATTTGCACACCGGTTTTGAAGTCTGTATTTGTGAAAAAAAAATGCATTATTATTGATAAAATTATTGAAACTTATAAAGAGTTTAAATTAATTTTTGACACGACTAAATAAAATTTTGAAATTTTTCTGTTTCTGAAAAATTTTATATGAATTTTTGGTCATAATTATCACTTGGGATAACATAGTTTGATAATTGTATTCATAAAAGTATACTTGATTATCATTTTCTTATTAATAACACTAATTATATTGGCATATATATAATAATTATTATATTATAATATTTTTAGTCCTTTAGCTCAGGCAGTAATGACGTGAACGGTTTTGGCTACTCCTCAATGAAGGTCTCGTCATATGTTAATGATGGCAGTGGCCCACCAAAAGTCTTTGAGGCTGTCCAGTCAACCAAGGTGGCACCTGGAGGTGTAAGTTTTTTTAAAGATTCTCTCCTAGCTTTTTTTACCGACATTTTTCTAGTTTTGTTTTGTTTTTTACTTTTTTCCATAAAAATCATTTCATACCTTATTTTTTAAATTGATTAAATTTATTAATAATTTGCCAAAAAAAATTCTAATTCAGGTTATGCCGTGGATTATTTCATGCCAGATCAAAACATAATTTTCATAATTTATTTTTATTGGTCGTAAATTATTAAAAACAACACCACAATCCCAGTTAAAGGAAACGAAGAAAGCGATGCGGGACACCATGGTCGGTGTCGAGAAGATGTCCCTCGGCCGCCACATCATGGACAAGGGTCACGTGATCACCAGGCAGAAGGACACTAACTCAGGAGATATCAGTGAGAATAGGGATTATATTGGATTTGCCGAAGGTTAGGTTTAGCTAGAGGGGTGGTTATTTAGTATTTTTGGATTATTGGTTCACTTGTTTGTTTGGTTTCCATTCATTTTGTTACAAAAATATTAACATATAATTAAAAAAAAATTTAAGGATGAAATTTAATTCATATTAATTTAATTTAATTTATAATTAAATTATTTTTTTTAAACAGAGGAGGCCAATCAGTTTGACGAGGAATGGGAGAGGGTTATCAGCAAATATTCGGGCAGGAAGAACAAGGCTAACAGGTACCTGGAAAGGAAAAAGTTAGTATCTAAAAATAATAATTATAATAATGTGTGCGTGTGTGTGTGTGTGCGTGTGTGTGTGTGAGTGAGTGAGAGAGGACAAAAAAGAAATAGAGAGATGAGAGGGAGAGAAAGAAAATTCACGCCTCAGGGATACTTTAGTATTTGAATCTAGTCACTGGGAGATAAGCGCCAGGCGCTTTAACTGTTACTCCACCAATTACTAATTATTATTATGATTATTTATAATATTATTAAATATAATAAAATAAAGTTTTATTTAAAAAAAAAAATTTCAGTCTCGCTTTGGAGTGAAGAAATGTATGGACGTGCAGTTTGTTCTAGCCAAGCTAAGTCTAACGAAATAACAACGATATTATTTGGTCTTCAAATTTTTTAGTTTATTTACAAAGATGTAATATAAATATAATAAAATTATAATATAATTAACTATAATAATAAAATTATAATAAAGTTATACATCGTATGTACAAGTATACCATAGCTTAATTACTACCTATCCATTTTTCACAATGCAACATCGAAATTACTCTAGACTTCACTATATAATTTTAATTGTTGTAAAATTGGATTATTGCTTTATTGAATTATTCTTCTCATTTCAATTGGATGTTATGTGTCATTAATTATTATTATGGTTGTTGTCATTGTTGTTGTTGTTGTCGCATAATTAATTGATTGGTCGATTGATTGATTAATGATTACAATGTATTACAAAATCGTCTTCCAAACGTTGTGTTTCTTGTATACGCCATTCAACACATCGGTATCATAAAATGTTCTAAGTCATTTAAATTAATTGTCTTTCTTTGTATGTATGTTTATATATATATATATATATATATATATATATATATATATATATATATATATATATATATATTAGGTAGTGACGATGATAATGATGTTGGTTTATTTCAATTCATCATTCCGTTATATTTGTTGATCATCTTCCTTCATTCAAATGATTTGAGGTGTAATTTTTCAACTTGAAATTTCATTTTTTTTTGGGGGAAATATGAAGTAATATTATTCGCAATTTTCTTATTTTGTTAAATAGGTTGTGTGTGTCTGTTTGTCTATGTGTGTGCGTGTGTGTGTGCGCGTGTGTATAAATGGTTGGGAGGATTATACGCTCCGCTTCCACTAATTATAAAATCTATGAAAAATTATAAAATATATGAAAAATTTGATAGAAATTACTAACTACATTTAGTCACATTATCTGCCAATGCATCTTCTTACTGACAGAAAGAGGTGCATCAACCCAGCTGTCAAAGATGGGGTTATTAATAATGGGTACGTAATGTATTGCAACAAAAATTTTATAGCTTTAAAAAAATGATTAAAATGATAAAATTCATCCATGTTCAATGACAGTTGTTAATTATAATTAATAGTAATTATGGTTATAATATTATGACACGATAATATTATTATAGATATAACAATAATTAGTGTTAAACTGTGGTAGCGTTATAATTATAATGTTAATTAGGATATATATATATATATCAATGATGATTAATAATTAGTAATAAGTATAATAATAATATAATTATATAATGATAACAATAAGTATAATTATTATAACTGAGATTGTATATGGTAGCGATAATATATAGTAGGCGTAACGGTAAAGAGCCTGGCGCTTCTTTCCCAGCAACCATATTCAACTGCAAGCAGATCAAATGCGAGATGTGTGTTTGTTGCTGATGTCTTTGAAGAAAGTTGAAGATAGAATTTTAATAAATACATAAATAAATAAATGAATGTAATACATTAATAACGGTGTACCTGTTATAAAACAACTGACGTAAAACACACGAATGTACATATAATATAGTTCGGATTTTTGTGTGGTAAATTTGAAATAGTTATAAAATTTTAAAATTGTTCTTGTCCTCAAATTTTAATAAAATTATGTAAAAATAAAACAAATGTAATGTAGAAACATTAGCAAATTGTCATCAGTTTAGTAATACAGCAAGGATCGGAAGGAAGACGTATTTTTGCAAAATTACACGAAATAAATCAACTTAAATATTTTTGCTTTGAGATCTTAAAAAAATCCATAAGATTTTACAATAATATATATATATATATATATACAAATACTTACACATACATGAACACATACATGTACGTGTATATAGTTTAACATACATAAGTGTGTGTACGTTTGTGCGTGTGAATTTTTAGATACAAAAAATAAAAATTATTGTTTTTTTTTATTTTGAAACAAATCCACAACAGCTAGCAAAAGAAGTTAAGTTGTATATAGATATATATATTATGAATTTGTGTGTGTGTGTGTGTGTGTGTGTGTGTGTGTGTGTGTGTGTGTGTGTGTGTTGTGTGCATTTAACGAACAACAGTATTAAGGGATAATCATTTTTTTTCGCTTTGAACTATCATAATTACTACAGTAGTTAGTTTCGATCCGTCGAATTGTTTTAAAAAACGCTTTATTAAATAAATAACAAATAATTAATCTTTAATAATTAATTATTTAATTAGCTTTTCTTCATTTCTAAACGTGTTACTGGATTTTCACTTGCAGAACGTTTCATCCTTTTCAACGAGACACGTCTGGCAGCGGACAGTGCAGCACCAGTGAAACTTGCAATGGCATTGTTCCTGGACGATAATCCTCCTCTTGTTGAACCCCCTGCCACAGCACATCAACTTACATCCCTCCAT